TGGACAAAATGCTACAAGGTTGCTTCGCGAGCCAAACAATTATGTAGCCATGCCAGCCCTCCACGGGATAAGTAGGACTGAAATCTACCATCACGAGTAACACTCGACGAGATCTCACGGGCAATGGAATTAGCGCCTATTGATTCAAGTTCAAATGAACAAGATTGAAAACAAGACCGGAGTGCACTAATATGTGAAAGAAGACTCCGGTACCGCGGCCACTCTATTGCTTTGTTCACAGCTTCAAAAGCAGCTTGACAATCAATCCCATTGACTACATCATCGACACGTAAATCTCGTAAGCTTTGTAACGCCCATATTATTTACATTGCTTTTTCTTTGTTACGATATTATTTTTTAATACTTAAGATATTAGATATATTTTTGTACAATCTTTTTAGATCGGAAAATTAGTATGACCCTCACAAATACTTTTTCTAGTTCGGCCACTGCATAACATGATGTACAGTATTGTAAAGCCGATCCACGATTTTTTAGATTACGATTTACGAATACTATCCAAAATGAAACTGAGTATATAATATATAGGAGATCGTACGGTTAAGATTTTTAGTTCAACTTCAGATGTTAATCAAATATGTCACTTAATTTGGTATAAACCATACTAAAATTACAGTTTAGCTTCAAATCAATTATATTGGTTTAGTTTATCCGAATTAAACCGCTAGACCAAACTGTTCGGATCGGTTCAAGCGTGCAGTATCGAGTTTTTCACTTTACGCCCCCAAATAAATGCAAAATTACAGTAAGAGAGGAGAAGAAGAAGCAAAATTGGGATTGGGAAATAGAAACGTTTTTGCTAAACGCTTGAAAATGGTTTTGTTGTAGCAAAGCGAGAAAAACCACTGAGAGATAGAGAGAGACGACGGAAACTTCGAAGATTTGGGGCTTCGAGATGGAGGAGAAACGTCGTGAGCCTGGAACCCTAGCTTTTGCTGGTAATTCCGGAGATTCTCCGGCATCTGAACCGACGACGACGCGTCGACGCGGCGGAGCTTTTAAAAGAAAAGCGAATGCTCTCGGTGGGTCTTCGAATTCGTCTTCTATGTCGTCTAAGAGGATGTTGACTCGAGAAAAGGCGATGCTTGCTTCGTTTTCTCCGGTACATAACGGGCCTTTAACTAGAGCTCGTCAAGCACCGAGCAATATTCCGTCGGCGGCTGGGGTGAAGTCGTCGGAGGTGTTGAATGTCGGTGACGGAGAGAAACCCAAGGAGGAAGAAGAACGAAACAAAGCGATCCGTGAGTGGGAGGCTTTGGAGGCTAAGATCGAAGCTGATTTCGAAGGAATTAGATCTCGCGAAAGTGATACTCATGTGGTGCCTAATCATTGCGGTTCGTTCTACTGACTAAACCAAATTCTCGATTTCTTTACAGAGTTGTCACTGTTTTTGCTTTGTGAATTTTAGAAATTTTACATGGAGAGTTTCCAAAGTTGGCGAATTTAAAGAATTTTGTGAGGTATCTTAGGTTTTATCTGGAAATGAGGAGAGATATAACACTAACTTGTGAATGTCTAGGGTTGAATGGTCATTATCCATTTAGTCCATGATAGAAGAGAGATCATAATGTGAAAATATTTTCTTCTTATTTTTCTTTTGAAGTTGAAATTATACTAACTCATTTTGTGATACTAAAGTATTTTCTGGTAGAAACTCCTGTGAATAGCTTTAGGCTTTGAATTGATGCTCTTAGTCCTTATCTTATGGTAAATATTTGAGCTAGAATGTAATATGAGATTGAAGTTTAGGGGTTGAGTTGTTGAGTATTGTTTAGTCTTCACAACATGTCATCTATACGTTTTTTATTAAAGTAAAGGACAGTTTGTAATTTGAGTTCCTGTACTTCAAACTCTTTGAAGGTTGGTTTTCATGGGAGAATATTCACCTACTTGAGGAGCGTTCATTGCCGTCTTTCTTTAATGGGAAGTTGGAAGGTCGCACTTCTGAGGTATATAGGGAAATACGGAACTGGATCATGAGGAAGTTTCATTCCAATCCAAACACACAAATAGAATTAAAAGACTTAACAGAACTCGAGGTTGGAGATACAGAAGCAAAGCAGGAAGTGATGGAGTTCTTGGACTACTGGGGCCTAATCAATTTTCACCCATTCCCACCGGCAGATACTGGTTCTGCTGCTGCTGATGATGATGATTTAGGGGATAAGGAGTCACTGCTTAACAGTTTATATCGATTTCAAGCAGATGAGGCTTGCCCTGCTCTTGTTCACAAGCCTCGTCTCACAGCACAAGCTACGCCATCAGGGTTGTTTCCAGATCCGGTAGCTGCTGATGAACTGCTAAAGCAAGAGGGTCCAGCAGTCGAATATCACTGCAATTCCTGTTCAGCTGATTGCTCTCGCAAACGCTACCACTGCCCGAAGCAGGTATTTTGTCTCTTTACTTATTTTTCATTCCATCCGCATAAATGGATCTTTTTCTTTCCATCTTTTCATCTCTGGCTTTAAATATCTGAGATAGAGAGGAATACAGAATTTATCTATGACCCTGTTCCACCATCTTACTGTTTGTGGTAGTATTCATTCTTTCTGCTAATATTAAGATTTTGACAGGCAGACTTTGACCTGTGTACGGACTGCTTTAACAGTGGCAAGTTCAGCTCAGATATGTCATCGTCCGATTTCATATTAATGGAGCCTGCTGAGGCCCCTGGCGTTGGTAGTGGTAAGTGGACAGATCAAGAGACTCTTCTTCTCCTTGAAGCTTTAGAAATCTTCAAGGAAAATTGGAATGAGATTGCAGAGCATGTTGCTACAAAAACAAAAGCTCAGTGTATGCTTCATTTTCTTCAAATGCCAATCGAGGATGCATTTCTTGATCAAATTGACCACAAAGATCCAAGTACAAAAGACACTACAGATTTAGCTGTGTCCAAAGATGATAAATCTGTCCTGAAAGATTCACCTGAAGAGGCAGAGAACAATAATCATGTTGATGAGGTTGAAACTACGAAGGAAGTACCAGAACCAGAAGATGACAACGAAGGAAAAGTTTCTCAGGAATCTCCAAAGCCTGGAGATGCGAGTGAAGAAAGTAATAGAGTGGAAGCCGACCAGAAAACGCCCAAGCTAGAAACGGTCATTGATGAAAGATGTAAAGAGGAGGCTGATGAAAACATTGCTCTGAAAGCTCTGACTGATGCTTTTGAAGACGTTGGTTATCCCATCACACCTGAAGCCGCTTTTTCCTTTGCTGATTTAGGATGTCCTGTCATGGGACTGGTAAGTTTTGATGTAAGACAGAAATTTTGCAGCAATGGGGATTGAGATGAGATTCTTTTTAATTCATAAATGCACCCTCCCTTTGTGATCCTGCAAGGCTCTTTTTTCTACAGGCAGCCTTTCTGGTGAGATTGGCAGGATCTGACGTTGCTACTGCTTCAGCACGGGCTTCCATAAAATCCCTTCGCAGCAATTCTGGATTGTTGCTTGCTACAAGACACTGTTTTATTCTGGAAGATCCACCAGACGACAAGAAGGATTCAACTGAATCAAAAAGGTTTCACAAATATTTGAATATTGAATAATGTATCTTAACATTCTGTGTTATTGTTCTGCTCTCAATCCTTTGGACATTTTTAGTGTGGATGCAGAGGGGAACGATGATAATGCACGTAAAGATGAGCACTCAGAAGAAAAAAGCCAGAAAGCAGAAGACGTCTCCTTGAACTCAAATGATAGGGAAATGCCAGATAGTGATCCAAGCAAAGAAAATCAGGATTCAGTCTCTGAAGAAAAGCAACCTGGTTCTCAAAATGAAAAATCTGCTAAAAAACCAGACGCTGTACGAGAAAAAAGATCTAGTAAGTCAGTTGCAACTGACAATTCAGAGAAACCGGAGGAAACAGTTTGTTCATCTCAGGAAAAAAGTTCAGGGAAGGACCTTCAAGAACCTTTGAATGATGCAAGTAAGGTTTCTAGTGAAAACAAAGACGCCTCACAAGAAACTGTCTCCCAGTCAGCTGCAGATACGCCTCAGCCAGAAACATCAAAAGATGTGGAGATGAAGGATGCATTAACGGAGACGGATCCTGAAGATGTTATCAAAACAGTAGTAGAAGAGGTTCAAAAGTCTGAGAAGGGGGCAAAGGATGTTCTTAGTATACCAGACACGTCTGTTCCACAGGAACCTATTGGATCGGCTTCTGTACCGGAAAATGGAACAGGTGGT